CAAGTATTATTTATACAATAATTGAAGCAATATCTTTGAATAAGTTCTATGAGTGTGTATCGAATTCATCTAATGAGATAAATTATTTTTAACATTAATCAGTCAAATTTGTTAGACTTTGAAGATCTCAGGTCCAGTCCTTTGAAGCTCAGGTCCAGTCCTTTGAAGGTTCAGGTCTTCTTTCCATGACTTCGAACACGGAGACTCCAATAATTTTCTTAATACAATATGTATTTTCATTTAGCATAAATTAGTTTGACATCTAATAATCATTTAATCTTTTACACCGCATCTTTGCAAGTAGAATTGAATTATGGAAAAAAAAAATCTTGATATAAATTATATAAATACGGACTTTAAAATCACTAAATCTACTTTAAAATTAGTGCAATATAAACTCTTCGTAAATATCACTATTTCAAAATAAATAAAAAATTTTAAAACATACCCTAATACAACTTATATTGGACATCCTAACAATTTTCTTCTTAAGTTATGCCAACAAAAGGGATTTTGCAAGCATAAATCATTCAAAAATATGATTTTACATACTTAATTAAACTAAATAAAAAATAATAAATAATTGCATGTAATAGTTTCTTTATATATTTATGAACATCTCTCTCTATACAAAGACATATTAATAAGAGACAAGAAAATAAATCATTCTCGAAAATGGGAGATTTACATACATACCACTTAATACTATGCTATTTACATATTTAACACCTAAAACTTTAATATTACATACATACCACCCATAGTTCATTTTCATGCCAAATATGAGTGGTAAAAATGAAATATATGAGTGGTAGAAAAGAAATGTAAGTGGTATATTTGATATTAAAATAATATATGGTGGTATTCATGTAATATTAAAGTTTTAGGTGTTATATTTGTAAATAGGATGTTATAAAGTGGTATGTATGTAAATTTCTCGAAAATAAAATAAAAAAGTATGGTTCTTACGAAAAATACAAGGATTTTTAAAATATTTATTAGAAATATACATTGAGGGACTGAGCAACAATAAATGTTTATTTATTGAAATATGACAAAAACATTGGTGTGAAATAATCAGGTAGTATTATTGAACGGATATGGCTTAATTGGGGTTGGGCTGAATTGGGTTTGGCCCATTCAATCCATTTGGGCCCTTATATGTTCAAAAGATGCCCTACTTGATTTTTAAGTCATATATTTTAGTGAAATTAAAAGAATTACAAAAATGGCATTGAGTTATATATAGAAATTTTTAGTCAATCAAACCATTATGGGTTGACCAAACCAACTTGATCCATGTTTTGAGGTTAATAAGCTTTTTCAGATAACCTCGGATGGATCATTGGTCCAGTTGACCAAGCGTCAGGTCAAATGCTTGCAATAGGACTTCACATACGGTTAGCCTTTTAGGAGTTGTGGTTTTGATTTTAGTTACACTTAGACATAATTTGGTAATGTCCACTTTCTAATTTGGCCTGCATATACCAGATTCTTGATTTATTGGTCTATCCTAGGACTAAGGTTGAGTCAACTGGTCCATTGAGCTCAAGGAATTTCTAAGGTTAGGCATGGTTCCATGGTTTTCAGTCTGGGTTCAACAAATTACGATGGAGTTTTAATGAGCTCAAAATGTTGTGATTCTGTTTTTATTTTCTTAAGATAGGCTCCTAATAGTCGTAAGTCCTATCTTACATCATTTCAGGAAGGAATTTTTTGTCAAATCAGATCTATTTCTATTCGACTTTATTTTATAATATAAATATATATTGCTAAATAAAAAAATTGTACCGAAGAACATTTGGACCCATCCTAAAATGATAATTCAAATATATTTATATCAATTTGTATAAGTCCAAACATCAAATCAATCCTCATTCTATTACAACTCCTTCAAAGATTTTATCCACTAAGCACCAAATTTATTGGGCAATGAGTTTTGTGTAAGGTTGTCTTTATATTAAACTAATTTTTCTAAAGGGCATAAATGGTTGCCAAGGGGCAATTAAAGGCTTTCTCTTAGCATTGGGCTCACAGATTTGGGCCTTTTATCCACTTATGACTTGGTCATATTCACTGGAATCCAGCTCTTAATCAAAATGCCAGCTCTTCTGATAATTCTGTGAACATTTTTATTTTAATATAATAAAACTACAAAATTGACTATCCCAACCATAAATGTTTAACCTAACACTAACAGCTTTTACTGAAATAAATATATATAAACTTGAATATAATTGTTTATTTATATTCAAAGAAGAGTGAAAAGTGATTTGATGAGAAGAAAATTTGCATATATGATGTCTAAAATGATTAATTTTATATATTTAACATCTAAATTTTATTATTTATTGATATAATATTTAAATTTTAAATAATAAAAAAATTTATCATTAACTTATGTCAAAACTTCGCATGTCGTTAGTCCCATGGTTGTATTTTCGTATAAGTTTGCAACGCTTCATGAGATGCAAATGCAAATTCTTCATCGTTACCCATCGCCCCCTTCTCACATCGTAGGTCTCAGTCCAAGCTTTGCCCCGTTGTTGGTCCCATCAATGCATTTCCTAAAAAAAAATCGGATGCTCCCAGCAATATTTTGTCGCAACTTTCTCTCATCCTCATCTTCGACCTTCGTACATCATTGGTCACTCATCCTCATCATCGACCTTCGGACATCATTGGTCACACTGAAAATGGTATCATATGGCGTGTTCCACAACTCTTCACTGTCGGTAGTTTCGGAATAGAGCGGCGTCAATATTAACAATGTGATAAGTTGAGTAAATAATAAAACTTACATGTTAAACATGTAAAAATAATAATTTTAGATCATATGGCAGTGTCCTTAAAAAAAAAAAGAATGGATAAACGACATATTACACTACAAAATCATATTTTGATTTTCCATTTTGATTTCACTGTCATCATATAAGTTTCAACTCTATCTATCCAAACAAATTTGAATTTTTTAATATATTTTTATTTAGAACAATTTTTTACTTCTTCGTAAAGCTGTTGTAGATAATGTAATTTCTTGAAGATGTTGAAGAAAATAAATTTTGAGTACAAAATTATTTTAAAAGTAACGAAAAAGTAAAGGCCAAATAGATGTTGTGGTTGCGATTTAAAAATCAAAGCAGTAAGAAAGTTGTCCCAAACGAAGTCACGGCTTTTGTTGAAATATTTCTTAATACAATTTTTTTTTTTTTGCAAAAGAAAATTTTGAATTAGAAAGTTGTTTTAGAAAGCAATAAAAAAGTTGTCTTCAACAAAGCCTTAATTTTGATGTTTAGCATTTTAGGGTCTGCCTTTTTTTAAAACAAATGAATTCTGATAGCTTTAGCTATGTCTTACTGGCTTTGCTTGTCTTTATTTTTTTCGATTATTTGATTTTGATAATTTTGATTTAATTTAGATACATTTTTCTTGAAATTATCAATATTATTTTATATTTATTGAAAAAAAAAACAAAATATTTAATTTCGGCTGATAAAGTTAAAATTCTCATTGAGAATCTAATATTTACCTTTTTTGTTTTTTTTAGTGATCGATTTTCAGACACTATGATGCATCCCATAAATTTTGAACGTTTTCAATAAATTAATATTGAATTTTTTTAATAATTTAATCAGAAATTTTGTTAAAAATTTAAAATAATTTAATGATTTTATAATAAAAAATAGTAAATATTTAATCTTATTAATTTCAAATTGTTTCGATGATTTCAATATTTAAACATAATCCATTTTTTTCATGAAATAAAAAAGATAAAAAATAAATAACATTTAGGGGAAAAAATTTAAAAAAACTATCTCAACAATATAGATTTAAATAAATGCTGCATTTAAAATTTCATACTTTATTTATCTTAATTTGAGTAATTTTAAAATCCTAATACAATTTTTATAAAAATATTCTGACCAAATTGTTATTTAAATAATATTAATGGAGAAAAGAAGACTACCAAATTTTTATTTAAAATAAAATTAATGGAGAAAAGAAGACAAAACAAGCTTTAAACAAGAAACAAGAGAGAATCTACATTGTGTTCTACATGTAAGCTTTTAGCATTTCGAAGCATATTTGTTAATTACTTACCCATAATAATTTTATTTTAAAAGTGAAATGTAATTTTAAGAAAGAATTATTATGCTTCATTCGGGTCAGCTTCTTAATGCTTTGTATTTCATACTGCTATCACAATTTTTATTTGACCACTATTTTCTTGTGCTAGAAAGTTATTTTTTTCTTCAGCTTTCAAAAAACTATTTTCTCTACAGCAACTTTATAATTACATTTATAAAAAGCTACATCCATTCCAAACAAACTCTTAGTCAGAGCCTCAGAGGATTGGAATCTGCACATTAAAATTTTATTTAGGACAGCTTTCTTAATGCTTCTTAAAACAATTTTTTAGTACAAATTTTTAATTTTTCTACTAGAGTATAATATAAATTTGATGAATATAATCTATATATTTTCTACTAATAGCAATTTTACAATCACATTTATAAAAAGATACACTCATTCCAAACAAACCCTTAGTCACAAACTCAGAGGATATTTTATTTGGGACAACTTTCTTACTGCTTCTTAAATCAGCTTTTTAGTACAAATTTTTAATTTTTCTACTAGAAATATGCTTTAAGAAGCAGTCAAAAAGTCGTCTCAAATAAAGCCTAAAATATAATCTAAATTTGATGGATATAATCTATATATTTTCTATTATTTAAAAGATTAGTATACTACAAATAAATTATAATTTATAATGTTACTATTTTGTTCATAATATTTTCAATCAAATGTCAATTATCTATAATTGATTCATAAATTCTAAAAAAAATCAAATAATATTGAGACAAATACTTAATTATAATATCATTATTAGTTTTTAAATATTAATGTCAATATTTTAATTTTTTTTTAATGTAAATTTTTTAAGTTTACTTAGCCATGAGGCTTTGTAGATGAAGATAGCACGCAAGACAAATAAGTTGATAGTTTAACCTCTCATAACCAATTAAACGCTTAGCCAATTAATTTAAATACCAACTACCAAAATTACACAAATTGAATTTCGTTTATAAGAGGAAACAGTAAACAGGTCAGTTATCGGGTTAAGATCCCGCCACCTTAACCACCCGACCCGCGTAGTCACCTGTCACCCATCTCCTCTTCCCTCTATAAAAACACTAAAGCCTCTGGTCTAGCTTCCATTCCCCCGAAGCTTCTTCTTTACACTTATGGCTGGCAGCGTCGACTTCGCCAGCTCTTCCTTTGACGAATCGAAATCGGCCTCCCGCCCTTCTCTTCTCCCTTCCCCTTCGCCTCGCTCTCACCTCCGCACCGCCCCCGTGGTCTCCTCCAACATCTGCTGCCCCCGCCGCCGCCGTCCTCCAGTCCCCCCTCGACCCAACCTCTCCGCCTCCGCAAACGCCGACGCGGCCGCCGACGATCTCTCCCGGGCCCGGGAAACCCCTGCTTACCTCTGGCGCAAAGACGAGAAATGGCACCCGGTGACCTACGACGGCTTCTCCGCAGCCACCGCCGCAGCAGCCGCAGCCTCAGCCTCAGCCTCCGCCTCTCCCCACCCCCGCCGCCAACGCCGCCGCACTCCTAAGAAAAAACCACCTCGAAACCCTAAGCCCCCTTCCCGCATGTTCTCCAGCGACGAGGACGACGATGATGATGACGAAGACGAAGAAGACGAGTTGCTGGTGCCCTCCACCGCCGATAACTCGTTCGAGATGACGGAGCTAAGATTAAGGCGGGCGGCGATGATGGAGGCGGCGAAGTCTACGGATAGTCGAACGAGTTCGCCGTTGAGGAGGCTATCGCCATGTTTAGGAGGGGAAGGGGAGAGCTTGGCGGTGGTGAAGCAATCGGAGGATCCGAGATCGGATTTTAGAAGGTCGATGGCGGAGATGGTGGTGGAGAAAGGGATCTATGAAGCTAGAGATTTGGAACAACTTCTTCACTGTTTTCTCTCCTTGAATTCGCAGCATCATCATCAAGCTATTGTGGATGCTTTTACTGATGTTTGGGTGGCGCTTTTTCCGGCGACTCCGTTTAATAGCAGTCCCGGACAGGGGAACCTTCCACCGACTAGTAACGAAGGGGAGTGAAAGGTGGAAGAAGGTGTGTGAAGGATCAGCTTGATTTTTATTTGGATATGATTTTAAGTAATAATTGTTATATATATATATATATATATATAGAGTTGGTGTCATCCATTGGTCATTTTAAAGGCTTGTTATAATTGTGAGGGAGATGTGATGAAAAAAATAACGGTTTTTTGGGGAACAATGCGCATTAACTCAATACTCACATCAAGACTAGTAAAATATGTGCTATCAAAAAGTTGAGCATTGCTAGTTCTTCTAATGGATTAATTATTCTGTGCAGTCGCCGAACAATATTTGGAAACTAATCAGAATGTGTCATGTCACCTTTTGGTCAGTATCGTAGTTCGGTACTATTGATATGACGCATTCTGATTGACCTTCAGACGGCATTCTGTGTCCGCTCTCTACACAGAGTAATTTCTCAAGATAACAGAAAAATATGACTAACATATATCATTGGGTTTCTTTCAAGAACACTGGCATAGTAACGCAATACTCACATCATGACTAGTAAAATATGCACTATCATAAAAGTTGGCAGTTGCTAGCTCTTCTAGTGAAGAAAAGGTATGACTTATGAAATAAAACCATGTTGGTTATCTTTTTAGCTTATTCCAGAATATGACAATCAATAGTCAACATAACAATCTCACAATGTCAAATCTATATGCATGGAGCTTGTCAGTCTATGAAAAAATTATTTAGTACGGATGTCGAATGCCGTCCGGAGATCAAATCAGAATACCCTAGTCACCCCTTTCACTTGGTACAGCTGATGTGAATTCACCTAATTCGCCTCTGAACATAGAGTTGCGTCCAACATTTGCACAGAATAATTTCTCTAGTCTTTGGGTTAAAAGCAAGTAGGTGTATGATATAATAGGTAGCCCAATTAAGTGGACTTATTGTAGGGTAACGCTCGACGATGGTGAAGAAACCAATAACTATCACATTGGATCTATTCAATAATGAATTATAGAGGTTGATGCATTTTCATCGAAATTCGCTCCCCTAACATTGTTAATGGAAGAAAACCATAAGAAATAAGAGAAAATGAGCGGACAATAGGGAAACTGCGAAATCGAGGGGCCAACAGGGAAACAAAGAGTCAACAGAAAAAACAAAAGAAAAAAAATGCTAGAGAAAGAAAGCTGAAAAGACAAGTAGAAAATAAAGAAAACATAAAATGATAAATTTTGACTGCATCAGCAATCAATAGTTCTGATCAGTGAGTCATCATGACTTCCTAACATAGAGGAATGGAAACATTTTAATTTGGTGCTAATTTGGATGATGGCACAGCCAAAATATAGCAAAAGATAAATGGATGGTAAGGAAACATGCCATTATAGAAGTTTGGCACACACAACTCAACACATTTTTAATGATAAGTGGAAATATAATAATATGAAAATATAAATATAAATTTTAGTTTAATTTAGCCTAATTTTATCAATTTTTTTTTCTCTATTGTTGACAACTTGACTATTTGTCATTGCCCATTAGCTCTATCATAGGTAAAGGAAATAACAAGGTGCTAAGTTGAGCAGCCTGAAGTAACACTAACTTAAAGGTTGATGTGTGTTGATGGGATGATAACAAATAAGAACTTCATAAGATTACACTATAAGAAAATCACTCCATACGGGCAGCTTATTCCGACGGTTATCATAAGCTTTCTGACGGTTTTGTAAAATTCCGACGGCTTTGCGGCGGTTTAAAATCCGCCGGTAAAAACTGCGTAGAAAACAGTTTTCGGCGGTGTATTTCCAGCGGTTTATTGGCGGTGAGTACCGCCGGTTCTATTCTGACGATCATGACGCCAGTGACCGCCGGTAAATGCATACCGGCTGTTTAACCGCCGGATAATTCCCTTGAACTCAGTTTTTCTTCAAAGAAAAAAAAATCCTTAATAAGAATACCAAGATGTGAATGGTGGTAACTTGTCACGATGCCATATGGCACATGAGGGAGAGGAGGTGGTGCTTGGAGAATGAAGAGAGAGAGAGAAGGATTTTGACCTAAGATGCTCTTGACATAGAGAAAAAAAAAAGAATGAATAAGAAAGCATTTCAATAGGTGATAAGGACTATGATCAAAATGATTCCGTCAGGTTATCGAATGCATTTGGAAATCAATAACAAAACGCCACGTCATTAAAGTGCTCGGTATTGTGCTCGGTACAGGCGCTTGGTACACTCGGTATGCTCGGTATTTTTACCGGACGCAATAAAAATTCCTAAAAAAGGGGTTGATGGGCCCTAGAAGTGCGGTGAAGTGATATTATATATTGAGAAGAGAGGTAGAACATATATGAAGATGAAGATTAATGTGGAAAATTATTAGATGCGGACATCGGACGTAGAGGTATATCCGAACTCTAATAAAATGTCGGCACGTGAAGTGGAAACATGGATATTCAATTGGATTTATTTTTTTACTATTATATATTTAATGTGTTCGCGGAACTTTAGACCAACCACAATAAAAGCGCAAGTAAAGTGCAGGTAAAGCACAGTCAAAGCGCAACATAAGAGCAGTCAAAACGCAGCTAAAGTGCAACTAAAGCGCAGGTAAATCATAAGTAAAGCACACAAATAGTGTAACCAAAGTGCACTCAAAATGTCAAATTTTAAGTGGATATCCAGACATATCTCTACGTCCGGTGTCCATACCTAATAAATTTCCAGATTAATGTGGTTCAACTATAAAACCAAAGTTCAAAGTTCCTTGACGGAGATGAGTCCACTATTGAAATAGAAGTATACAATATACAAGAAAAGACTGTCTTTTGTATGAAAAATTATTCTGTGCGGATCCCGGATGGCATATGGAGACCAACCAGAACGCTTCACGTCATTTTTTTGTTTGGCATCGAGTGACGTGATGCTTCTGATTGGTCTCTCTGAACTGTTCGGTGTCCGCACAGAATAATTTCTCCTTTTGTATACAAGAGTTCATGTCTTAGTAGAATGATGAAAGTTGATCCCTCGATCGATCCTCAAGCTTAGCCATATATTGTCCAAGTAAGGCAGCTTGGGCTATCGCTTTTATATTAATCTTATGGAATAGCCACCAAGCTGGCAAGCTGTCTAAAGGAGAAGGCTGCCAAGTCAAAGAAGAAAGCTATAAGAAACAATCCATGCATTTTCAGCATATCTCTTTTAAAAGAAATTATAGGGCTATATATAGCATTACAATAAGAGAGGAAGAAAAAGGGGTTGACCACATATAAAATAAATAACATTAATTCATCTTGTTATCATTTAGCTTTGAAACTTGTCATGACCAAAATTATCATGTTTATTTACTATATTCTTACTTAGTTTTCCTCCTTAGCCAAATTAATTAAATTACTTTAAAATTCATACCCTTCTTCATCTTTGAATCTCATCTTACTCTAAATTTGTGATGTGTTGTCAAAGGCTTAAAAGGAACTTCTCAAGTCAAAGACTATGGATGAACTAATGGGAGTCATCGACGGCCAAGTTCCGCTCAGCGGCTTTCTTAAGGGAATTTGGCCCTCTGCATGCCTCGTAAATGGAACTCAATCTTCTTGGCGGCTTCTCTATCATTATGAATATTCTAAAATGCACAAAATAAATTAATAAATTTTTTTGTACAATAATATTCTTTAATCTCATTTACCATTTGTCCGTCTTCTCAATTCTTGCCTACACAAAAAAGAATATATCATTCAAGCATATATTACTAGTTGGTAAAGTGTTTATAAATGATCAGAAAAAACCCAATGACCAATTAGGAATCATAATCAATATGAAGCTTCTAATAATCAAAATATTTTGATCAAAAATATTCTAAGTCAAATAAAAATGTTCATGATAGATAAGTGACATGGCAAAAATATGAGTACTTAAACATTTACTCTCTCTCTCTCTCTCTCTCAAACCTAAAAGCCTTCCTAAATTTACTAAGTATAGATGAAAAATCAAGAAATAAAAAAAAATTATAGGACTTGTTTTGTTGAAATAATTTGCTATGCCGATAAAAATTCTAGAAATATGCCTTCCTCTTGAATTACAAAAAGTAATATTATGATTTTGTTTGGGGTAGCTTTTTTAATTACAAAAAGCAAGATATGACATTCGTCTTCTCATAATTACGACACACTGGCAGATTTATTTGTAAAAAAAAACTTTCAATCACAAGAGTTGAAAATAACAAAAAAAGTAAAATAATTAAAAAGTTATCCATAAAGCAAATTCTAAATTAACAAACAAATAAGCAACTTATATAAACTCATCATTTAATTTTCAAAAACTTAATAAATAAATAGTCAAATAATCGTTAGTGTCAACAACAAGAGAAGTGCAGAGATCAGACGTAGAATGTTGTTCGGAGACCAACTAGAATGCGTAACGTCAGCGGTACCGAGCCGCGATAACGAGCAATACCGAGCAAAGGGCTGATGTGGTGCATTCTGGCTAGTCTCCGGATGACGTTCAGCATCCACACATAATAATTAATCCAACAACTAATCTTCAAAATGTTATCATGCATTATGGCCGGCCGTTCAGCTGACCTATTAGCTACATACATGAATAAGAAGGCTGAATAATTAAAAAAAAAACCTTAGTTAATTAACTACTTAGTCTCCAAATGGCATAGAATGGCAAGCATTTTGCACTCGGCTTTTGTCTTATGGTGCTCTGATGGTTTAGTACGTGGAAGTATTGAGATTCCTGAAGAGTTTCTACTTCATGATTAGCTGTTAATTTGCACTGATTACAGATTTTAATATCCTTAATTGCTAATTTAGCCTATTTTTTGTCGTTTGTGTTAACTTTTTAGCGCATTTGAGCCATTTGTGATTAATATATAGATATATTTGCATGTTAATTAAGTGATAAACATCATTTTCATGTAAAGCAGACTATGTATTCTGATGTGTAAGCTTTCAATATTCAGCAGAAAAGTCAGAGATCATAAATTGGAGTGCTATGCGCTTGGTAGATTTTATTATTGTTTGGAACTTGTTCAAATAAAAAATAATAATTATAAAAAACATATTTAAAAAAAAAAAACTTTTGACAAAAAGGTATATAAACACAAATTAGTACATAATGTTCTTCGTATTTTTTCTTCTTATTGAGGTGAGTTTAATTAGTTTAAAAATCTTGTTTAATTACATTTAATATTGTTTGTTAAGTTCAAATTTGGTGTGATTAATTTTCGGCTGACCTAAAAAAAGCAACCACCCTAGAAATCTTCTGGCCCGTATTTTATTGGGCCCCACCTAAGAGACGTTGCCGTTCGGGGGAAATTGAGCACGAGTTGTAAAGTTTCCAATCATACTCATCCACCAACCAAACTAAGCAACACTCATAGATGTTACCATTTTAAACAAATTTTTTTATTTATTACAATAAATTACTTATAATCTTTTACTAAAATTGAACATAATTCACAATATTATTTTTTGCTTAGTATAAAAATATTCACAATGGTAAAATGAGAGCTTATTATCTAAGTGTTATAAAAAATTATCTCATTAAGATGAATGAATAACCTACAACGTACCGAGATGCATGATTTTTATGTAAAAATTAAAATAAAAAATAATAATATGATCAAACCCAATTAAACTGCCCCAAACAGGAACTTTTATTTGGTCTAGTCACAGGACGTAGCTCTACATTCGGCCGTCAGTAGAATCACGCCACGCGTTCTCACTATTTACCGCACGCTCCGACAACCCGACCCGGAACGGACCCAGGATGGCTCGGTATTTCTCGATTTTGCTAGGTATTGCTCGGTATTGGTCGGTTTTGCTCGGCAATAACCAATACCGAGTAATACCGAGTGGTTATTGCCGAGTAATACCGAGTTGCACCTAGAAAAACTCTATACAACTCGATATTGCTAGTTATTACTCAGTATTTGTCTTCACATAACAGTATTTCTCATTATTGCCAAACAATACCTAGCAATACCAAGTAATACCTCGCAATACGCAAACATAGCATTCTCGGGTTCCAGTCCGGGTCAAATCATCGGGCCGCAAGATAAAGAATAAGAGCATGTTGCAACATGTTATTGATGGCCAAACGTAACTCTACGTCCAGTCAGAGGACGTAATAATTGTTCCCCAAACAGAGCCTTATTCAATTGTTTCGTTTTTACAGCAAATTCTTATATTTCATAAACCTGATTATATTTTACATCAGAGTATCCTATTTATATCCAATCGAATGCCTTGCATTAGCCACATTCTCAAATCATTATTGCAGGGATTTAGGTAAACAAGATCAAAAATCAAATCATTACACAGTTGCACGATACAAAGCCTCGCAATCATTTAGTCAAAAAGATTTTCCAAAGAAGATTGCACACCTGAAACAGATAAGAACAGCATCATTTAGGAAGAGAAAGGAAGCATTGGGTTATCCTTTCACAAGTTAAAACTAATTCTAATAGAATACATGTTTTCTTCAAGATGAACCTCCTCTAACATTTAGCCTCTACTGGAAAAACCACAAACAGGTGAAATGAATTTCCTTTCTTTTCTAGAAAATAAATACAATAACTTCAATGTCTGAGAAATCTTTTAACACCTTAGGAAGGCTAAGGACCAACCAAAATGCCTCTGTATGTTCAAAGAACATGGGAATCAGCTTAATGGCAGCTTTTACTGTTGGTTTCATTTGGGATGGCTTTTTTATTGATTCTTAAAGAAGCTTTCTAGCACAAAAATTTTAATTTTTTTACTAAAAAATGACTTTAAGAAGCAGTAAAAAAGCCATTCCAGACATGGCAGTAAAGCACTTGCTGATGAATAATTACCTTTCAAGCATGCCAGTAAAGATTGGATCTAGCTTTTGGGATAGATGAGAGAAACTGGTTGCTGCTCATAGACCTTGATCTGGCAAAGAGGACCACCAGCCTCATCAGCAAAGGTTACCTTCTTCCTTCCTTTGTGAAGATCATGTACGGGGGACACCAATTTGTTCTCTGCTAATCTCTAAATTTATAAGAAAATTCAAGTTCAGTTCTAAATAAGAGAAAAAAAAATAGGGGAATTCACGTAATATAACACAAATTTGTTATGCATTTACGTTTCTAATACCTAAAATTTTATGCTTATTTATTATCAAGGCTTTGTTTGGAACGGCTTTTTTACTAAAAAGCCGCTTTAAGATTCAGGAAGAAAGCAGTCATCACATTAAAGTATATATATATAATTTTAATATTATTGAGATATGTGATTTAAGGATTTAAGTGTAATATAAATAACATAAAGATTTAAAAAATTTTGAGATGTATATGTAAATCTCCAACAAAAAAAAATAACAGGACTGATTTGTAATAAAAACCTACCATTATTTTACAAAAACGGGTGCAATCTTTTGCCATCATTGCTAGCCACTTCTTTGTTGTTACTTCGAGTTTTGAAGCATGCTTTGTAGCTAATCTAATCTGTTACAAGTAATTTGGCAAAATTGGGTAAGTTATAAATCATTCAGCTATAGGAAACATCAGCAAATTATTTGAAGAAGAGCAAAACTTCTACACTCAAAATTTCCATATTTTCAATAAAAGTCGCAAGGGATATCATATAGAAGAAGAATGTAATATAATATCAGACATTTTTATATAAAAATAATATTGAACATGTGTAAACTTAAATAGCTGCAGGAAGCATTACTTGAAAAGATGAATTACAGAGGAAAGCATTGATACACTTCAGGTTCAAAAAACCAAGCTTAAGCTAGATTGACATGATAAATAAATTCATAGGTAAAATCAAGCTTTTCATAATATTCCTTGTCATCAGGAATTGCCCAATAAGAAAAAAAAATTTAATAGAACAAAATGGGTTTTATTTTCCCATTTAGGTTTTGTTTTGGACGGCTTTTTTACCGCTTCATAGAGCAGCTTTTCAATACAAAATTTTTTATTTTTTATTTTCCCATTTAGGTTTTGTTTGGGATGGCTTTCTTACCGATTCTTAAAGCAGCTTTTCAATACAAAAAAAAAATTGTACTAAAAGCTACTTTAAGAAGCAATAAGAAAGCCCGTCCCAAACAAAAAGTTAATATTGGTCTGGCGGTGCTATGATATATCAGTGCACAAAATGGGTTCTGAGGTTGCAGCATCTGTAGGAAGGTTAAATCCAAAACATTGGTGCCTAAATTTTTCATATTTATTCTTTTTAATACAAGAATGCAAATACTTGTCTACGTCAACAAAGAGGTAAATCATACAGGTCTATGTTCGCACCCAAGCAAGCCAACAAAACGTGATAAATCTATCTTCAAACACAAGGAGCCATTGAAAAGAGTGGTTTTTTCCCCTAAATTTATACACATTGAGATTCCTCTGCCATGATACAAGTCATTTGAAACATTGCAAGCCAAAGAGGATGGTACGGCACCGCACAGTGTGCAGCATAAACAATACATGTAATTTCTACTTCAAATATCATAACCATTCAAAGACACGGCAGTTATTTTTACTTCAAATATCTTAACCATTAAATGACACAACAGCTTCTGGTCACGCTTGTGTTTTATTAATAAGTACTAAGATGTAGATGTGAGAATCCTTAAACAGCATATTATACTGTTAGTGTATTAGAAAATCATTATATAAGAAGTGTATATGATTTAGAAAGATTTGCATTGATTCTCTGATGCAAGCAAAAATTAGGAAAAGCGCCTAATTTTTTCAAGAAAAAATAAAACACTTCCTAGGATAATAGAAAATACATAAAAGAAGACAAATTACAACTTTATATCATAATAGAAAGACACTTACAACTTTTGACGCTTACAAACACAAACATAAACAACACCAAAACTTGCATTCCATCCATCGAGAAGAAAGATACTGGTTGGGTGGATACTTGCGGAGAAAAAAAAAGAGATTAGAAGCCGAGACGAAGTATAGCTCGCAAGCTATAGAGAGGAGAAGAAATGAGGGACATAGCTCGCAAGCTATTCCCAAAGAAGAAAAACCCTCAGGTTTTTTCCAATTCCAAAAATCAGCCACATCTAAACTCTCTAAAACAGCCACAAACTCCCTATAAATAGGCAAAAAGAAGCCCAAAAGACACCTAAAACAACTGTCCAAAATAGCCAACAAAAACAGGAGAAGCTCTTGGAAAAAAGGCAGCATTTAAAACTCCCAAAAACTGAATAATCAAAGCCATGAATCTGGACAGAAACAGAAACCAAACAGCCACCTAAAAACCCAAAATTTATTCTAAAAGAACACCCAAAAAGGCCACACATAAAACAGGATAAAGCAGCCACGTGTCAGCCAGCCAGGGGAGGAACCGAAGAGGCACAAAGGGGACCGAAACCAGCACCCAGCAAGGGAGAAGAACCAGCCACAAGAAATAACATAGGAAGAAACCGAGGGGACGCAAAAGAATGGGATAATATAAAGATCCAACTCCACTTAATGAGATATCAAGTGTAATTACTCCTCCAAATAATGAGCTAAAACATCAGCTCAAACAATAATGAGCTAGAACCAAGTACCTCACAAGAATTCAGCTCAAAGCCAAAGCAGCCAAGGCCCAAACTAAGAAGCAACAGTAGCTCAAAGACCAAAAGAACCCAAGATGCTAGCACACCCAAGGATTGCCAAGCCCAAGAACCTACACCCCCCCCCCCCTTCTGCCTACATCATTCTGCCTTTATGACATGCACTCTCCTTTATTCGCTTCTCATTATATTCACATTATATGCCTGTAAATGAGCATAATGAGCATCTTTGCTCAAATATGCTCGACAATCATTCAATTTGTATCCAACAAAATGATAACAAAGCACCATAACCCTAGCCATTTTTCACATTCTGATTAATCCCATCCCAATTTTACAACCCACCCAAAGCATGCTTTAAGCCACAACCTGATCCAACAAGATGCTCACACATGCTAACATTGCATGATGCTCGCTCATGCTCGCTGTCACTCCTACTCATTAATGATCCCTACTCACCATGTCTAAGCTCTCTCACGCATCATTGATTGCTTGCCAACCGTATGCATTTTGCAGTGCCTATTGCACTCTCAACCAACTACTTATGAGATGATCATCAGTGAGTCAGTGACTCACATTGTGCATTGAATCTCCATTTCATTGGCTTGCATATATAATACATCCGTGAAATTTGCCGTTCAAGTAACCCTCATCGTTGATTTGCCAGCCACCACACACTTGTGTGACTACTCTCACTTGCTCCCTCTCCCCTTGTCACACACTACCACACTATTACACTATCATACTCATAGCATAAGCTACACACCACCTACGCTCTTGAATGCAACCTATTACTATGTTCGCTCACTATCACACTCGATAATATGAGCACCCTTATTCATCCACGCTTATATACTCTTGCCTCCTACCCCAATCAACACTTGCATTGGGAGTACAGGCTTAAATTCTCCTCTTCATTATTTGAGTTTCTCCTTGATATTATATCTCATTTTCCTTACAGAATCATCTTTTTTATTTAACATCTTCCTCTCATGCAATTAATACCATGGTAGTCATAATCATAAAATAAAATTCTTTGAACCACATCTATATTGTAACTACAATAATCATCCTTTTGAAAGGAGTTGAGAAACATATAGTTATCCTTCAAATTTTTAACATGAATCCACAAATAAGTTGAGGTCACTACATTCATATAGTTTTGGCTGTGTTAATATATTTCTAGATGAATATAATTGATTACTTCAACAAATGAAGATTTCACACAATTTCTCAACATAATATCTTCCTCAAGCTATACCATCATTGTCTCCATCAAAACATCACGAATTTTAGATTTAAGAATCTTCCTACATGACAGAAAATTGAAATTACTTTCATCATTGCACATGTTTCCTTTGCTACATGTCATGGGGTAAATGGTAGGAATGTCAATTCGGGTCAACGAGTCGGGTTCGGGTCGAACCCCGGAACTGACCCGATGTTATTTGACACAACCCAAACCTGACCCGTTTTTACAAACATGTAAGAAAATGCAAACCGGACCCGACCCGTCGGGTTGCCGGGTTGACATGACCCGACACAAAAAAGGGATGTGTTGGTAGGCGTGTGGATCATGCACCGCATGTGGGGACTGCGGAGGCGTGGGTGGGAGTTGGGCTCCTGGGGACTGTTGAGGTGCGGGTGGAGAGTTGGGCGCGTGGGGACTGGTGGACTGCGGAGGTGGGCGCCTGGGGAGTGGGGACTGGTAAGGCGCGCCACGCTGCCAGTGGGAACTGGCGAAGTGCAGAGGTGGGCACATCACGCGTGGGGAGTTGGGTCCGTTGGGAGTTCGAAGGTGGGCTCATGGCGATTGCCGCACTGCGGCGCTGAGCGGTAAGCAGGTTAGGGCGGGAGCAAGAAGCAGGCTAGGGCGGCTAGGCTAGGGCTAATAGACCCGGGTCAACTTCAGGTTGATTTCGGGTTTCCGAGTCAACCCGAACATGACTCATTTTTTTTTTAAAACGGGTCAAATATACGAACCCAAACCCGAACCTGGATTTTTCCAGGTCAAGTCCGGGTCGGTTTCGGGTCATGTCAAAAATTGACACCCCTAGTCAATGGTTCCCCAACCTCAAGTAACTTGCAAAAATATTAATCAATAATTCTTGTATTTTTCATAAATTTAATTTGAAATTAAATTTCCAAAAATAAGATTCTTCATAAAATCTCATGTGTTTTTCAACAAAAAGATGTCACATTAAAAAAAAAATCATATCATCGATTCTACCAAGGCACGCATGTGTCAAGAATATCATTTGCCAATTTTAGGGAGTTATTACTTGTCACCTTATTAATTATGTCGCCACTACACTTCTCCGCAATCAATCACATAAACATTCTTTAAAACTCTAACTTTGTCTCCTACTTTTTTTTTGCTTGACTACCATTGTTTCATTTATGTATTTTGCCAAAATGAAAAAGTCTATCCATGTCACAAGTTGAATGCATCTTGGAAACTCCTAAACTAAAAAAAGGGTATCATATATGATATGATTCCATTATCAAACAATTGTACAATTTAACAAGCACCTTTCATAAGAATGCCAATTTCTTTCCTACCAACACTTATGAATCATCACCATATATTCCTCCTAATAATTAAATCCCTATCTCTCCTCTACAAGTGCATTCCAAAATATCTCAACCACCTTTAAATATAATATCATCCCATCTAATTATGTTAAGTATACCTTTGAGATTATACCATTAAATTTACATCTTCCTGTTGAAATAAAAAAGATAAATTATGAATTACTCATCACCTTATTCTCTCATTAACCTTTGACCATTTATGCCCATACAATCATTATTTTATCTTTTTTGTTTGTAGTCTCTATTTCCAAAAATATTTCGGAGCACTACAACATCCTTTATTAAAAAAAAAAAAAACAAGCTATGAATAATGAGTAGATGTTCTTTACATCCAACAAACATGAAAATTAACTGCCCCTCCCTTTTGGGTTCAAGCCCATTGCTCATAGATGAGTTTTTAATATCAAGTTTTATTTAATGATTGTACTAATCAGTATAAAGTCCAACGAGTTGCCAAAGGTTTTACTCAAGTACATAAATAAATTATTTTCATGCTTTGTTAGAATTCTAAGCTCATTGGTCATCAATCAAGTTTATCTCATGCTACAAATGGATGTCAGTAACATCGTTTACAATGATTTGGATGAGTTTGTATGAATGAAGCAAAATCCTACTATATTGCTCGAGAGGGGAAATGAATATGCTTACCCAGGAAAGTCGTTTATGAGAGCTTAAGCAAAATCCACAATCTTGATTTGAACAATTCCGAAAAAAAAAATCATGCAAAAGATAGTCTTTGAAGTACTTTTATTAATTATTATATCTTTGATAAGCATTCAACAATAGGCTCCATTGTATTAGTTAATTATATAGATGATATATTACTCAATGGGAGTAATAGAGACAAAGCATTACTTACAAAATTATTTTATTATTAAAGATCATCTATATACCTTATGAATCTCAATATCAAAGATTAATTAAAAAGAGGATTTACATATAAACTACATAATTATTTTGTTTTTATAAATCTATCATCTAAACTTTAATATTTACTTATATAACACTTTATTATCTCAATCATATCAAAACATATACATGAAAAGGCATATTTCACATGAAAAAAAGTAATGTGAGTGACATTTTTATGTGATTTAAAAATATGGATGTTATATAAGTAAATATTAAAATTTAATGTTAAATATGCAACTACATAAAAATAATGTTGAATGTGTATAAATGCCTCGTTAAAAAATTGATTTATTTGTAGTTGCATAACCTAATATCTCCATTGCTGCTAAGACCATAAGTCGATATATCCAAAATCTAAAAATAAAAGCATAACGATGTTATTCTTTGCATTTTCGAACACATCAGGAATATCCTTGGAAAATGGCACTTGAATATTAAAACATTCACTAATATTGACTATATTGAATATGTTGATGATAGAAAATTAATTTCCAAGCAATGTATCTTTTGCGTGGTGATTTGGTTATCTAAACAACTAAGAAGCAAATTATTCTAGTTAGAAAACTAATTTTAAAGTTGAATATAAAGCCATCGTTTATTTTACAAGAAAATGATATGGGACATTTTACAAAAAAATGAACCTATGGTGTTGTACCACAACAACCATATAAAGCACCAAAAGCCCACCTAGTCATACACATCTCACATGAAAATGACTCACAAACCTTAATTCATATTTGAAGCAGCAACAAAGACCTCACAAAATGCTTGGACCGCTCAATGCAAATTGAACCATTAACTATGATATCAATTGTTAGATATGGCCTATCAAAGAATCAAATTTGGGCCTAACATGCCAATGTTAAGCCTATTTTAAACCTGAAAGTTTAAGACTATGATAGAAGTACAACCACTTTAAAATTTTACATTAGCATAATTTTTAAATACCCAACGTGACACTAAACCCAATATTTTAACGTGTTCTCAGAAATTGCATGCCAAAAATGCTAGTGTGCAACGCACCTGGTTGTGCAACTAAACACAAGATGGGAAGTTATAAATCTATGAATGCATGCACCATTTAAAAGGGTGATTCAGTATAAAACCTCCTATACAGTCAATCTTGATAGACTACACAATAGCATGGTTCAGGTCAAAACATGGTTGCCAGGGGCATACCTCATCAAAGTTCAATTTCGACGGAGATAAAGTTGGCCCCTCTGTACATATTGTCCCTTCTACAATGCTCTTCAAACTATTTAATCCTTTTAAAAGCTTTGTTGCAATGTTTTCTGTATCTTGCATCTGTCGTTGAGAGAACAGTATGGCATCATGGATTGATGAGTTCTTTGAGAAACAGGGGTTGCAGCAAATAGTATCTGGTGACTTGAGAATTCCTTTAGTAATCTCAGGAAGGGATTCATTCATGATCTTTGGCTTCTTGATCATCCGCTCTGCCTCAAGAAATGTTTCCCCGTCATCTAGAAATGATGATAATGGCTTCTTAGCAGCTCCTTTATCAAAGCAAAGCTTCTTCATACAATCTGAAATAGTTTTAAAATGCAAACAGGGCTTAGAAGTGAGCAATGTGAGGATATGACAAAATGAATGTTAAATGCATGACTTATTTTAATGCTTACTGGAGAGTTTGACGACATCATCTAAACCCCCATTATTTAAAGCCCGGAGAAGTTTTTCCTGTGAATTTGGAGATATCTCCTGCAAATGAGTAGTCAAAGAATAAATAACTGAAAAGGAACATGGGAAGTTGAGAGAATTAAAATCTAACGAAGGAACCAACCTTTCTATTTGACAAAAGCTTTTTAGGAGAATGTTCTACTTCCATGCAAAGTTGGCCTCCAAACTTTGTATCCGCCATTTGTATCTCGGTTGTCTGCATATTTATCAGCCTCTCTACACAAATTTGAGCAGAGGACTCCAAACAAGAGCTGATAGGGAAATCTGCAATAGCATCCATGACAGCTGCAGACTTTGATAAACCATCTTTTACCAGGAGCTGGGTGCTGGCTGTAGTCTCATGTAGTTGGGAGACAGGACAAGGGCAAACGATTTGCCCAGAAGGTCTCACTGCATCAGTCAAATCAGAGACCTTTGCACCGCATGGCTTTCTTTCTAAGCATCTGTTTAATTTGTGTGCTTGTGATGAAGGCAGCAACTTGTCTGTCTGAGGAACCCATCCATCAGCATCTATTCTCGTGAGACCGCCTAGAGAGTCTCCATCATAATAAGAAGCTTGCTTTCCATTTTCACATATTGGGTTTAGATAGGCAGATCCAGCCTCTGTTATCGAACAAGGAGCATCAACTGATACAAGAGTGTCATTGGACAAGATGCTGTGATCTATTTGTGAGAGGACAAAGCTTGATAAAGGTTGCACAGATTGGCTCATCAACTCACTTGAATTCTCACTTACCATACTGCATCCACCATCGTTTACTACATCCAAGCTTTTGTGGCTATGACTGGCACCTAAACAGTTATTTTTATCTATGCTATCATGATTCAATCCACCTACAAAATCATCATGGTTTTCCAAGCTTAAAGAAACGCCAGAATCATCAGTTGGCTCATCAAAATTATCACAACTATAAGAAGTCTTACATTCAGTCACGAATGAAACTATTCTTTCAATGAAAGACGTATCTGAAAAACTGCTTCTCCTATTCTTAACCAACCAACTATTATTTTCTAAGAAACACTTCAACTTCTCGCCATCAGATTCAATGAATTCTGTAGAACTTTCAGCTAAAGTGAGATGCAGATCTCTTTTATCAGACGGCATTAATTCTTCAAGTTGCAATCCCTGTTGGTCTTCCTTCTGAATCACTTCGGTAGGTAAGTTTCTGTGATGCTTAAACATTGTCATTAAACCAGCATTAGGAGCAGTGTTATCACACTTTGTAGAGCCAACTACCAGATGTTCATTCTTGACATTTTTTACATCATGACTGGGGAATTGGAAGTTCTCTAATGTAGGTGAAGATGAAGAAAAATCATGCTTGCATTGTCTTATAATATCTCTAAGAAATGGATCCATTATGTTGCTTATAACGTTCTCAGGCTGCTCCAAATCCACTCTTTCACTAACCTTATCAAGCAATTCCCCTATATATTTTTTATCAAAATCACATTTGTTGACCAATACAGTGTTAGAATTCATCATCGAGTTTTCATCATCTGACATAACCAAACAAGTTTCAATGACCTCCTCCTTGATGACAGAAGCTGCAGAAGTTCCTACAGAAAGAGGGCTCTGCTCAGCAATTTCTTTCATCTTCGCATCAACACTTTCTGAAAGTAAGAATGGAATTAGAATAGAGGAAGATGGAAGCGTTGTGTTTAACAGAAATGCATTTTGCAGCACTCCATCATCCATTTCGAATTCAAGAATCACATTTCCCAATTAGAAGCACCAAATTCAGCAAAAAATATAGCAGTACACTAAGTAACATCATCATCATCATCATCAACAACAAATACTCTTAAAAGAAAAAGAGACGGTTTAAAATGTTTGCCTTTCTTAAGCCTAGAGAAAAAGAGACAGTTTAAAATGTTTACCTTTCTTAAGCCCCAAACCATATTCAGAATCCAGTGAGAGCTCTTTAGAAATTGCATCTTCAATAATTGCTTCGTCTAGCCCACTCATTGGAGCTACTGAAGCCAGGGGAAATGTCTGCAATGTATTCTTCTCAGGCGGTGAAGAATGTAGAGTGGATTCAGTATATTTGTTTAATTTTTCACTGGTAGGCGATGACTTTGCCTTCTTTATTTTAAAACTACTAATTTTCTCATCTAGCTCCGGATCTTCTTCTTTTACCATCATAGGGTCATTATTATGTTCTAGAATATCAACATTTGCTTGTCCACTACCCTCAGATGCCTTACGTTTTTTACTTTTGCACATTGTCAGCAGATCCATCAAGGTAATACTGGTGCAGCTTTCATCCTCGCTGTCTGTGATATCAACAAAATTATTTTTTTGCTTTAGCGGTCCATGGCTTTTTTCATACAATGGGCTTTCAACTTTAACCTGCTTGGGTGATAAAACACATGTATGTGCACCAGTCTCCTGCTGATGTTTCAAACTCAAAATGTCAGGAATTGCAGATTCTACTTCGTATGCAGCAGCTACTTTGAGCCTCAATGACCTGCGGGGGTTCGAGATGTAGCCACTAGACTGATTATGGCTCATTGAGTTGTGATCAGCTAACTTGGAACCATCTTGTCCATGACATACGGTTCCACCATTCTGATAAAGTGATCTGCGAGCCATACTTAATCCTGAAGAAAATATGTTACAATGCTAATAAGAACAAAAAACAATCTCAATAACCTAAAAACAATAGTTAATTCCATTTTTTATAATCAAAATGAAAGGTAAATAATGTAATGCGCTTCTTCAATTACTTTGTGAACATGCAGCAGCATTCTTAAATTTTCTGCTGGCTCCAGACTAGCCTATACTAAAAAAACCAAGAAAAATGCATCAACATGTGAAGATAAGAGCGAATATGGCGTCCATTGTGAAAAAGCGGGAAAAATCATTTCGCTTAGATGATAAGAGTGTCCATCTCAGAAGGCAGAATCAAGTGCCGAGAAGATATCCATGCATAAACCCTAAAAATAAATCAGCTAGGAAACAAGGCGAGATCGAAACTAACCTGGAAGCACCTACTCTCAATCAGATCGCCACTTGTGAAACGCAATCTAGAAAGGCCGGGTTGGCAGGAAGCCAAACAACCAAAAGACAACCAAAGTTCATAGATCTGGAACAAAAGCTAGCTCGCCGTAAGCTTGCCTGCAAGGGAAATATCGTGGTGAGGACCGATCTTGGCTTGCAAACGTAGAGAGGGAAAAGGGGAGAGGGAAGAAAATAGTGAGCAGCCGAGTACAAACGCTTTTAGGGTTAAAATAGACGAAGGAAACTCGCGCCAAGAGTTTGGCGGGAAAGATGTCCCTGCATTACATTCGGGGCAATTCTAGCCGTTCGATCGATGGGATTCGACGGTCGCTGTGAGCGCGAAAGGCATAGATTCCGATCCTGCTTCACCATCGATCCAATTTATTGACATCCATACGGCTCGGACAAATCCTGTTTAGAACCTCCTCTGCTCAAATCAGCGCTCAAAATATGGTTTAGTTCGGGGCAGTTTTTTTATTATTTTTTAAATCTATATTTTAAATGTCAAATTTTTTTTTTAATTAAAAATTTGTTTTAATAAGCGGTAAGAAAGTCGTCTCAAATGAGAGAAATTATTGCGTGTAGTAAATACTCAAAAATGCTCAATTATGAATATTTTGTGAGTATTGATTAAGTATTTTCTACGTATTTATTGAATATTTTATGAGTATTTATTAATTTACTAAATTTTTACTGAGTATTTACAAATACTGAGTAAAAATGCAGCAATCCAAATGAGAGAAATTATTGCGTGTAGTAAATACTCAAAAATGCTCAATTATGAATATTTTGTGAGTATTGATTAAGTATTTTCTACGTATTTATTGAATATTTTATGAGTATTTATTAATTTACTAAATTTTTACTGAGTATTTACAAATACTGAGTAAAAATGCAGCAATCCAGACGATTCTTCTTATTCGAACTCCTCACAAAATAATTTCTCCTGAAAAGAAGCCTAAATCTTGATGTTATTGACACTAAATTAAAATAATAATAATAATAATAATAGAGAGAGAGATTAGCCTAGCATATTTCACTCCACTTTTTAATTTGAAAAAAAAAATATTTCATCAATATTTTTTATTGAACAAATCAAATTATTTTTTTAATATATCAAAATAATGTGTAGGCTTTTTAATATTTTTTATTAATATGTCACACAAAATGCTTATCATGTCGTCCACTCCCCTCACATACACTTTTACAAAATTGACAATATCTATATGGCCCACCAATTTTGACTAACCACCATCACCTTTGTGAAATGGCAAAATAAATGGATTAATATGATATTCAATAAAATAACAAATATATATATACATTGGCGGATTTAGAGGGGGGGCCTAGGGGGGCACGTGGCCCCCCCCCCTCCTTTATAGGCTGAAATGACTTTTTGTTTGCTATTCTCTCTCTCTCCATTTCCATTTTTTTCCTTTTAAAGTAGACAACTTTTGTACTTGATGCTCCTTTCCCTCTCTCTCTTCTTACTGATGAGAGTGATGATATTTTTTCACTTAGCTATTTATTTTTATTTTATTTAGACCATCTTAATTTTATTTTTTCATTTATATTTATCTCTTTATTTATATATTTTTATTTTTAATTATTTTTTCTTACACATTACTAGTTTTTAAAAAAAAAAAATTCATCAATTTTTTAAATTATTTTTTTTAAATCTTCCAATATTTCTTTTATAGAAAAAATATATAATTAAAGCAAAGAAATTACACTAGATAAAGATTACAATATTTAAATTTAAATCAAGTAGCTTAAAATATACTTAATTATAATTTTTTATATTTTTTTATTAATAAGATGTAGCTTTTTTATATTTATTACTCATTGTAAATATTTTAAATTGTTTTTTTATTATAAATTAGACAAGAAAACCTAAGCTAGATATTTTAAAAAAAAATAAAATTCCAATATCAATTTCAAGCTCAAATGAAAAAACTTGACAGTATTTTCAAATTAAAAATTTGTGACCCCGCAGATAAATAATTCTGACTCGCCACTGTATATATATTTTTAAATTGTCATTATATAAATAAAACTAAGATTTTATTTGGGCAGCTTTCTTACTGATTTTTTCAAATAATTTTTAGTTATAAAAATTATATTTTTATAGGAGAGTTTTTTAAGAAGCCAAAAAAAACTGTTCTCACAACAAAGCCTAATATGACTTCAAAAATCGGCTTAATATAACGCGAATCTCAAATATATATTTAAGTTGAAAACTTTTTATTCAAATTTAGAACCATTAGAACTTTGATTTCAACAAAATATTACTTAGCTAGTTAGCTTATTACTTTTGTATGCTCTTAAACTTAAAGCCAACTTCTAGGCATAGTGTTATTAAAACCATCTTTGAATGATGAGGAATATTTTGCAAACCTTATTTAGTATTTTTTTTTATTCCACATTGATAATGATATTGTAACAGCAATTGATGTGGCTTTGTCAAAGGTTCAGGCAAAATGATGTGGCCTTGTCGAAGGTTTTAACTTTTTTCAAAAATAGGACACTATGACCTTGTGGTTAAATATGAATACCTTAATGAGACAATCTTGTGGAAAACCAATAACAACATATTTCAGCTTCAAATGAGCCTGAATCAAGTAATTAAAGCATACTAGGAAATTTGATCATGAGTTAGATGAGATGTCAGATAGTCTCCAAATCTTGAATGTTTATAGCAAATCGAAGTGTCTCAACATGATAAATCCAACATGCTCAAAATCATCTAATTCAGATATTATTAAGGCATTAACGTAACAACCGGATTTCATTTGAAAACTGAATTTAAAATGAAGAATTTAATTTTTTGTTGAGTTGAGTAGGGGTGCAACCGAGTCAAGCCGGTCGTGAGCTGACTCGAGCTCGAACTCGTTTAACAAGCTCGCGAGTCGAGCATATCGAGCTTCGAGTTTGAGTTCGAGCTTAATTTCGACCTCGGTGTATTAACGAGCTCGAGTTCGAGATTTACCCTGTCCGGCTCGATGGCTCGTCGAGCCGACTCGAATAATTTGAGCGGGCTCTGAATTTATGGATTTCGGTATTACAAGCACTTGAGATGTGCTGTGCTGAACCGGGCTTTCATTGAACCGAATGAAAGCCCTGTAAAAAACCCTAAACATTAATTCAACGAAGCCGGTCCACATAAATCTTTCGTTCGTGAGATAGAGTGCGGCGCTCCTCAGTTAGGGTTGAATTCGTTCTTCCGGTGCTCGACGGCGTCGACGCTTCGACTGCTATCTTCTCCGGTTAGTTCACTTATTTCCTTCATAATGTTTTCTTGACTTCATTTTTCTGATACTTTAGCTGCTAACTTCCATGGTTAGGTAGCTTTTGCCTTTTCATCGCTTCTTGCCATCGTTCATCTGGTTCTCAAGTTTTTATCTGCTGTGGTTATAGGTAAGTTCTATTCAATTAATTTGCTTCAGTTTTTTTTTTTTAATTTGCCTGAAGTTTATTGTGTTCGGCTGTCCGCGCAGTTTGAGGATTTCGCAAGCTTGGAGTGCTCGACCTGTTTATCTTTCTCCGGTTGAAGCCGCTTGATAGGTATATTATAAGTAAACATATTTTTTTTCTGAATTAATCTCTTTTGTTCATTATCATTGTTTCGTTAAGCCATTCCTGAAGCAACCAGCTCGAAGCAGGACTTTACATGCTAGATTTCATAAATCACAATTGCGTAGAAGAAAATCACTAGTTACGCCATCTTAGAAACGAAAATTTTAGCCTTCGAGGTCAGGATTTAGGGCACGGCAGAGCTCTCGGCGGCTGCTTCTCTCCGCCTATCGAGCCCGAGACCTGCTACAGAAAAGATTTTGCTGCGTTATTGTTATGTGATTTTTACGAATTTTTCACTTAGTTGTATTCCTTATTTGCTATTATTCTATATTGATTTGTCAATAATCATAAATACGCTACATTTTAGTCATTTCATTGTTGTTTTTAAAATGTTTTTTTTTATATGTTTATACGTGTTTATATTCCTTACAACGAATTATTGTTTAGTCAATGTTTGAGTTAACTTATATGTGTTTTCATTACCATGCTAGAATGTCGCCCGAACCAATTGTTGAAGAATTTAAGTGAGGAAATAATTTTGGAGACAGTTGAATGAAGTACCAATCTGATAGTGTAGAAGTAAATGTTGGGTTGACTGAAAAATGACGGCTGTGGTTGAGGAAAATAACGCGTGGTAGAAGGGTGTAATGTAGGCACATCTAACCAAAATGAAGATGAAAATCCAATCACAACAAAAAAAAGGTTGAAGAGATCATCTGTGTGGGATGAGTTTAAGGAAGTAATACTTCCTAATGGGCAGAAAAAAGGGGAATGCATTCATTGTAAAAAGAACTTATCCATAGGTACTACAGGGTCGACAACACAATTTAGACGTCACCTTGATCGTTGTGCAGCTAGGATTCGTTTCATAAGAAATCAGAAAGTACTTCATTTTCAGCCCAAGGAAATTGATTCTATAGCTGACAACTCCCAAGAGAGTGCTAGTTTGACCACATTTTCTTATGACAATTCTAAAGTAAGAGAGAGCATAGCACATTATATTTTGATCAATGAAAAGCCATTTTCTGTTGTGGAAGAGTTTGGTTTTAATCTTGTTTTGAAGTCAATGTCTCCTTATTTTTTGAAATATTCAAGAACAACTGCTCGTAGTGATGTAATGTTAGTTTATGAGAAGGAGAAGAAAAAACTCCATAATGCATTGAAAAGCATAAATAGAATCAGTTTTACAACAGACATTTGGAAGTCAAAGAATCAACGAATATCTTATATGGTAGTTACAGGCCATTATGTGGACTCAAATTGGAAATTGCAGAAACGTGTATTAAGTTTCCTCCACTTGTCACCTCCTCACACAGCTACAGAAATTGTTGACACTTTATACAAGTCACTCAATGAATGGGGTTTGGAGAATAAAGTATTCACACTTTCAGTTGACAATGCATCTAATAATGACCGTGTCATTAAACTTTTAAAGGATAATTTTCGTGTAAGGAAGAAGTTATTTTTTGGAGGACGGATATTTCATGTTCGTTGTTGTGCTCACATATTGAACTTGATGGTCAAAGATGGTATAAAGAGTATTGAGTTTGTTGTGGAAAAAATTAGAGATACAGTCAGTTATTTAAATGCATCTGAAGGGAT